TAATAATAACAATAATAACAATAATAATAATAATAACAATAATAACAATAATGAAGCAGTACTTTTACTTAGCATGTAGTATTTGTTCTTCTGTGTGTTTTGCTCTTGAACTTGAGTCACAGAGTGTGTGAACCCCCCCCCCCCCCACACACACATATTAATAATAGCTCCTATTTACCCCCACTCTCCTGTCTGACCTCTGACCTCTGACCTCCCCGCTCTTTATGCAGAGTAGAAAGGGGGCGATCCTTCGGAGGTTATTTGAGGTGACAGAGACACTGAATATGGTCTCTGTTACTGCGGCGACGGGTCGGCCAGAGGCTAGACAGCATCTGTCTGTCTGCTGGGGGGGGCAGTCAGAGGTCGAAGTGGTGTTCAAATACAAAGACAGGTTCAAGTTCAGTCTGAAGAGTTCTCACTTGTTCATGTGTTTATGTGTTTATGTCAAAGGCTCTGCCTGTGAAAGATGTTGAGTTCAACTGCAGTGCAGACAAATGTGATATAATATTATATATATATATATATATATATATATATATATATATATATATAGTACAATACAATACAATATAATGCAATACAATACAATATAATACAATAAAGAAAAAATCAAACCAATCAGAAGCAATCAACTATATAAACAGGAAGTCTCTGTAGCATCATGAGCTGTAATATAACCTTCAATAAAGTATGAAAGTTAACTGTCAGTCATTTAGTTTGTATCAGATGTGTCAGCAATATGACCTTGATGAATAATGATTAATATCTGTATACATTTACAGTTTCTATATTGAATTACAGTGATATACTGTTTAAATATTTATACTGTTTATATATTTATACTGTTTATATATTGATTATAGTGATATTTATACTATTTCTATATTGAATTATAGTGATATTTATACTGTTTATATATTTATACTGTTTATATATTGATTATAGTGATATTTATACTGTTTATATATTGATTATAGTGATATTTATAGTTTATACATTGAATTATAGTGATATTTATACTGTTTATATATTTATACTGTATATATTTATACTGTTTATATATTGGTTATAGTGATATTTATACTATTTATATATTGAATTATAATGATATTTATACTGTTTATATATTTAATTAAATTTTCAATTCAATTCAATTCAATTCAGTTTTATTTGTATAGCACCAATTCATAACAGAAGTTATCTCAGGACAATTTTCAAATAGAGCAGGTCTGGACCGAACTCTTTATAACATAACATACTGACATACATATATATTGATATTAATAATTGGCTGTGTGTCAGAGCTCTGGTCCCTCTGCTGGACACCCACTGCTACTGCATCTGTTACTACTCACTACTACTGCCACTGCTGAATCCAGTGATAATGATGATGATATGTTTCTGTGATATATTGATTGATTGATTATTGATTGTATCCCTCCTCTGTGTGTCCAGCCCCTCCAGAGTTTGTTCAGTGGCCTCAGTCTGTCTCCAGACCAGCTGGGAGCAGTGCCGTCTTCAGCTGTACGGCGTCCGGTGTCCCTGAACCTCACCTCATCTGGCTGAAGAATGGAAAACTGCTGACACCCAGCGGCAACGTCAAACTCACCAACGGAAACACGTAAGAACATCAACTTGTTCAGTCAGTGGGGAGGAGGAGGAGGAATCAAAGAGTCAGTGGTAATATGTAATATGTGAGATACTCTCTGTCTCCCCCTGCAGGAGTCTCGCCATCACCCGTATCACCCCTGAGGATGAGGCCATCTATCAGTGCATCGCAGAGAACAGCGCCGGCACTAACCAGGCCAGCGCTCGCCTCGCCATCAACCAGGGGCCCGAGCTGCCCGAGGCCCCCGCCGGCCTCCAGGCCGTGGCCCTCAGCTCCAGCAGCCTGCAGCTGACCTGGGAACAGCCAACTGAGCACGTCAGCCAGCAGATTATAGGATACGTCCTGCACATCAGACGCCTGGGGGGTGAGTTCTGAGGGGAGGCACGATGAGATATCCAATCACATACAGGCAACACTCTGAACTCTGACCTTTGACCTCCTCAGAGCCAGACAGTGCGGAGATGCAAGAGGCCGTCAGTAAGACCACCTTCAGACACGAGTTCAACAACCTGGAAGCAGCCACCACCTACTCCATCTACCTGAAGGCTTATTCTGCTCTGGGAGGGAGCCAGCAGTCCAACACCATCACCGCCACAACACAGGGGGGCGGTCAGTCCACCTTAACCAGCTTCACACTGTCCACCTTAAACAGCTTCACACTGTCCACCTTAACCAGCTTCAATTCAATTCAATTCAATTTTATTTGTATAGCGCCAATTCATAACAGAAGTTATCTCAGGACACTTTTCAAATAGAGCAGGTCTAGACCGAACTCTTTATAACATTATTTACAGAGACCCAACAGTACCACCATGAGCAAGACCTTGGAGACAAGAGCAAGGAAACACTGCCTGTTAAAAGGCAGAAACCTAGGACAGATCCTCCGGCCCTAGGTGGGTGGTCGTCTGTCTCAACCAGTTGGGGTGAGAGAGAGAGAGAGAGAGAGAGAGAGAGAGAGAGAGAGAGAGAGAGACAGACAGACAGACAGACAGACAGACAGACAGACAGACAGACAGACAGACAGACAGACAGACAGACAGACAGACAGACAGACAGACAGACAGACAGACAGACAGACAGACAGACAGACAGACAGACAGTAACAACAGATTGGCAATGGCAATCTAGCAGAACCATGGCAGGACGCTCCACCAGGATCGATAAGAACCTGCGAGACGAGAAAGCACAAGAACTCCGGGGAAGAAGTGAAGTTAGTAACATGCATTAATGGGACATGAATGAGTGCAGAAAGAGAGAGGAAGAGAGGAGCTCAGTGCACCATGGGAAATCCCCCGACAGTCTAGGCCTATAGCAGCATAACTAAGGGATGGTTCAGGACTCACCTTATCCAGCCCTAACTATAAGCTTTATCAAAGAGGAATGTCTTAAGCCTACTCTTGAATGTGGTGAGGGTGTCTGCCTCCCGAACCACAACTGGAAGCTGGTTCCACAGGAGAGGAGCTTGGTAACTGAAGGCTCTGGCTCCTGTTCTACTTTTTAGAGACTATAGGAACCACAAGTAGCCCAGCATTCAGAGAACGTAGTGTTCTAGTGGGGTAATAGGGTACTATGAGCTCTTTAAGATATGAAGGGGCCTGACCATGAAGAGCTTTATAGGTGAGGAGGAGGATTTTAAATTCTATTCTACATTTTACAGGGAGCCAGTGCAGAGAAGCTAGTACAGGAGAGATGTGATCTCTTTTTCTAGTTCCTGTCAGTACTCGTGCTGCAGCGTTCTGAATTAATTGGAGCGTTTTAATGGATTTATTGGGGCAACCTGATAATAAAGAGTTGCAGTAATCCAGCCTTGAAGTAACAAATGCATGGATTAGTTTTTCTGCATCTGTCTGTGATAGTATGTGTCTAATTTTTGTAATATTACGTAAATGAAAGAAGGCGGTCCTAGAGGTCAGCTTTATGTGGGAGTTAAATGACAAATCCTGATCAAAGATAACTCCAAGATTCCTGACAGTGGTGCTAGAGGCCAAGTTAATGCCATCTAGAGTAACTATATCTTTAGACAGTGAGTCTCTAAGGTTTTTTAGTGTCAAATGCAGCACTAAGATCTAATAATACAAGTACAGAGACAAGTCCATTGTCAGAAGCAGTCAGAAGGTCATTATTAACTTTAACCAGAGCTGTCTCTGTGCTATGATGAACTCTAAATCCTGACTGAAAATCCTCAAATAAACTATTGTTATGTAGAAAGTCACACAACTCTTTGGCGACTACTTTCTCCAGAATCTTAGAGAGGAAGGGGAGGTTAGAGATCGGTCTATAGTTGTCTAAAACCCCTGGGTCAAGAGTGGGCTTTTTAAGAAGGGGTTTAATTACAGCTACTTTAAAGGACTGTGGTACATATCCTGATAATAAAGAAAGATTAATCATATCCAGTAAAGAAGTGCCAATTAAGGGAACAACTTCTTTAAGCAGCCTCGTTGGGATCGGGTCTAATAGACAGGTTGATGGCTTCGATGAAGAAATTATTGAAGTTAACTGATGAAGATCGATAGCAGAAAAACAGTCTAAATATATGTCTAAGTTTACATTAGTAAAAGTCCCTGAACTTGGAGAGCCACTGATAACTGTTGATGGCAGTTGGTGATTAATTTTCTCTCTAATAGTAATCATTTTATTATAAAAGAAGCTCATGAAGTCGTTGCTACTTAAGTTTATGGGGATATGTGGCTCAATAGAGCTGTGACTCTCTGTCAGCCTGGCTACAGTGCTGAAGAGGAACCTAGGGTTGTTCTTATTTTCTTCTATTAGTGCTGAGTAATAGGCTCCTCTGGCATTACGGAGGGCCTTTCTATAGGTTTTAAGATTATCTTGCCAAATTGAGCGATATTCTGATAATTTGGAAGAGCGCCATTCTTTCAGATTTCTAGCTATTTGTTTTAACTGGCGGGTTTGGTGGTTATACCAAGGTGCTAGTCTCCTATGTTTTAATAATTTCCTTTTTATTGGAGCGATAGAGTCTAATGTTGATCGTAGTGAGCCTGCAGCACTATCAACAAGATTATTAATTTCAGAGGGACTAAAGTTGTTATAGGACTCTGAATTAAATTCAGACATGGCATTGAATTAAACACTGAAGGAATCTCCTCCTTAAATTTAGCTACAGCACTGTCAGATAGACATCTGCTGTAGGAAGTTTTGCCTAATGGCTTATAATCTAATAGTATGAATTCAAAAGTTATTAAATAATGGTCAGATAGGAAAGGATTATGTGGGAAGACTATTAAATGTTCAATATCAATGCCATATGATAAAACAAGGTCAAGAGTGTGATTAAAACAATGAGTTGGTTTATTTACACTCTGACAGAAGCCAATTGAGTCTATCAATGATATAAATGCATTACTAAGGCTGTCATTGTCAACATCCATATGAATATTAAAATCACCTACAATAATTACTTTATCTGATTTAAGGACTAAACTTGATAAAAACTCTGAGAATTCAGATATAAAATCAGAGTACGGTCCAGGAGCGCGGTACACTATAACAAATAGAACTGGCTGCAGTGTTTTCCAGTTTGGGTGAGAAAGACTAAGAACAAGGCTTTCAAATGAATTATAATTTAGTTTAGGTTTAGGGTCCATTAAAACGCTCGAATCATATATGGATGCTACCCCACCTTCACACTGTCCACCTTAACCAGCTTCACACTGTCCACCTTAACCAGCCCATGTGACCACAGTGTCTTTGTCTGACCACAGTCTCTCTGTGTGCCCACAGTGTCTTTGTCTGCCCACAGTCTCTCTGTGTGCCCACAGTGTCTCTATGTACAATGTCTCTCTGTGTGTCCACAGTCTCTCTGTGTGTCCACAGTGTCTCTGTGTGCCCACAGTGTCTCTCTGTGTGTCCACAGTCTCTGTGTGTGCCCACAGTGTCTCTCTGTCTGACCACAGTGTCTCTGTGTGTCCACAGTTCCCAGCTCTCCCAGTTTCTTCACTAAGGTGTTGAACCAGACGGCCATGCAGGTGTACTGGGAGCTGCCCAGTAAGCCGGGAACACTGGAGGGCTTCAGACTGGAGTACCACGGGGTTTCTAACCCAGGTGTCCAGGGGCAGGAGACCTTCCCAGGACACATCAATACCCACACCATCTCCCACCTGGGTTAGTTAGCCTAGCTTAGCACAAAGACTGGAGGCAGGGGGAAACTGTTAGCCTAGCTTAGCACAAACACCGGCAGTAGGGGAACTGCTGTCGGTGCTGATGCTAAGCTAGTGGTCAATGTGTCTCTAACGGTTTGTGTCCATCCTGCAGAGCCAGCAGCCGTGTATGAGATCCAGCTGGTGGCGTTTAACGGAAACGGAGACGGTCTGGCCAACCGCCGCCTCGTGTCTCTGGCAGAGGGACGGAACACTGCAGCAGGTAAGATCCTCAGCATGACCTCTGACCTCCTCCGGAACCAGGTGAACCAGTGGAACCAGGGGAATCGGTATAACGTGGTCTCTCTGTCTCCCTCAGCTGGTCAGACCTGTAACTGCGATCAGTCTGATGGATCCACGTCCACTCTGCTGGTCGGCGTCCACAGCGGCCTCGCCTGCGTCCTCTGCTGCCTGCTCTTCATCCTGCTGGGATACAGACGCAGGTCAGACCTTCATCTTCATCATCATCATCTTTATCATCTTCATCATCTTCCTCTTCCTCACTGTGTTGTGTGTTCAGTCTGTTCTGCAGGAAAGAAGTGAGCTGGGAAGCTCCGCCCACCTTGAATGCTGTCAGAGGTGCTAAAGGTCACACACCTGAGAGCATCGAACTGAGCCAGGTAGCACACACATTCACACAGTGTACGTTTCCATGGTAACTGTACTGCAGCCGCCGTTACCATGGTTACAGGTTGTCTCTCATTCACCCAAAAAACATGTCTTCCTGTCTGCTCCGCTCACAGAGATGTGACTCCGCCCCTCCTCCAGTGATGGTCATGGTTGAACCGACTCCCTCCGTCCTACCCGGCAACAACGGATAAACACACACCTCCCCCTCCTCTTTCTCCTCCTCCTCCTCCTCTTCTTCCTCCTCCTCCTCATCCTCTTCCTCCTGTGGTCTCCTCCTCTCCTCCTGACAGCCTTACAGCCGTTGCAGCCTTTATGAATGAGAGTGTATCTATGAGATTATTGATTATTGATTATAAATGAGTGTCTGAGGGACTTCCAGAGTCTGATACCACCCAGGAACCAGAACTTCAGATGTCCACGAGTTCTGAAAACAATTCATGATTTTAGACTAAAACCAAAGCTGAACGGATCCTGATCATGTGACCGCGGCCGGTTCCTGTTTGGTATCAGCCGCCATCCCCGATGCTTCCTGTCAAAACCAAAAGCTTTTGTCTTCAGTTTGAGTTTGTCACCGTCGGTGCCCAGTTTCTAGAGATGATGAGGCCTTCCACTATTCTGACCAGAGACTGGGTCCTCACAGGATCCAGTTGAGTTCCTGATTAGGAGTTCCTCTGAGGCCCAGAACCAAAGGGACTGTTTCTCTGGTCAGCAGGTGGCTGCGGAGGACGTTAGCATTACTCCGCGCTGCTTTAGCCTTTCACTGTTTGTTTGTCTCACCGAGTTCGCCTCAAGTCAGGGTGGAGAGGAAGCCGACAGCTGGTTCTCCTCTTCCTCCTCCCTACTTTTCCTCCCTCCTCTTCCTCCTCCTCTTCTTCCAAAGAGATCTACCTCTGGCTCAACACCAAACCTCTGAGCTACAGGCGACTGTTAGCCTCCTGCTGCTGGTCAAAGCTAACCTACCTCAAAACCAAAAGGCTCCTGTGGGGCCACGTTGCCATTTTCTACCATAAGTACCAATGTGGACGTCCTGAGACAGTCCGCCAGAAACCCTCCAACTCCCATCCCACAATGGATCGGCCCGTTGTTGTCCTGATTGTAGGTTTCCTGATGAAAGGAAACCACAGAATACCTCAGACAGCTTCCTGTCTGACTCCAGCTACTTCCTGTAGTGATGCCTCCAGGACCCAAAATCCTGTTTCAGATCTTCCATTCAAAAGAATCAAAATCCAGATCTCAGAATTCAGGGTCTAAAACCCTCTGGAGGTGGACCAGAGTCCTGACCTTTAAAAGTCTAGAAACATATCTACGTGCACAAAGTCTGGTTTCATCCTGGTCTGTCAGTCCACTGCTCCAGGACTCATAATGGTCTAATCGAGGTTTCTACAGTCCAAAAACTTCCTGAACCTGATCCAGATCATCCACCAAAGCTTCTTCAGTCACAGATGTGTTTGGGTCCTGGAGCTCACTGGAGGATGAACCTTTAACGGAGTCAAACAGTCGACACCTGAACCAGGACAGTCTGGATGTCTCAGTGTGAGACATCTCCTGCGTTGTATTTTATTTTTGCTGAGGCAGCTACTCCCTGTCACCTGGTTGCAGGTTTGTGTTTAAACTGAACTTTAATGTCTTCTAATGTGTGAAATGATTCCTGAACTTTCCGTAGATGAACTGCAGCTTTCTGTAGAGTTTCTGCCAAACTTCCAAATATTCTTTAAAAACAAGCTGAACGATGTCCAAAGATAAAAAAAAAAATAGTTTGTCACAATTTTCTGTTCAAACTGTTTGTTTTCACTTCCTGTTTCCAGAGGCGAAGAACAAACTCAACCAAAAGAACATTTAATACTTCAGATGAACGTAAATATATATTTTCATATATTTGAACGGTTAAAAGAGCCAAATAATGAACAATAGAAACATATATTGGTATATCACTGACCAAAAGATCAATCAATATTCATCAATAATTCTGAATATTCCCTCAGAGCCACACACAGCCTGTGGTTGAATGTCTTTACAGCTTCTGGCTCTGCTACTGACAGTGATCCACCTGACCCCGAAACCCAGACTCACCAAGTCCCGAGTCCCAGAGGACATTTACAATACTTGAATTGACGTTCAGTCCAGACTTGGACCTCATTAGTGGAACCAAATTCTGAATCTCATGTTCGTGAGTCTCCCTAAGTCCCACCGAGTCCCAGGTCAAACTGAGTCGCTACAATTAGTCTCACAGTGATCCTCCAGCTATGTCGAGTCTCGAGGCATGACGAGTCACTTCAAGTTGTATTAATGACATGTGGACATCCTGTTTTGTTGAGTCTAAAATCCAACTTGAACAACATCAAGTCACATCAAGTCATGTCGAGTCATGTCAAGTCTAAAATCCGCCTGAGTGTCGTTGAGTCTTATTGAGTCAAGTCAGTAATTGTTGAGTCATATCAAGTCTAAAATTTGACGCATTAAGCCTTGCTGAGTCCAATCTCAGGGAGCCACCACCTCCCTGCTGCCCTCGGAGTCAGAGGTCAGAGGTCACTGTCAGATGAAACGAGTCAAATGTTTCTAAAAATATAAAAGTAGAACAAAGTAAAGTGTTTCTAATTTTGGCTGTTCTTTTTCTAGAACTTTCTTCTTTCAGTTCATTCTTATTTTCCGTCGCTGCCGTTCGGTGGTGGAGAGGAAATTCTGCCAAAATGAAAACCATTAAAAGTTTTTATCATTATTGCTAATAATATTATGATTAGTATCATTTTACCTCCTTGTTTTTATATCGTTTGTCTTTTTCAGATGATTTTTGTAGTTGAATGATGTGAACATGTTTCTAGAATTTAAGAAAGGTGTTGTTTTCAGCTGAAGGTAGAGACACTGGTCAGACTCAGTGGACATTAACCATATTCAATAATAAGCCATACATGATTTTTAAGCCATATTTTACACAGATGTTTGATATAAAACCTGATTTCTGCCTCCTTCTGTCCACTGAAAGCAACTAAAACTGTAGAGATTGTAGTGACTGAAGGCTAGAACCAATGAGAAAAGTAATGCTTTAATGTTTCTGATTTCTTTTCTCATTTTATTTTCATTAATGTGTCATAAAAAAAGAAAAGCGTCCCAAAGCTTTAAACTGAACAGACGGAGGGCGACACAGAAACGAAGAGTTTGACCAGCTGACCTGTTTCTGTTCACAATGGTGTTCAGATTTTGTTGTTTCCACTGGATGAACTCTTCTTGGAGTTTTAACGTGTTATTGTTCCATTCAGATGCTTCGACACATGAAAACCAAATAAAACAGAATTGAAGTAGAAAACAGACGTCTTGTTGTTGTTTATTGACTGAAACTGTGTTAAGGTTTCCAGGTTTCCATACACAGTAAAAAAAACTGTGCTATGTGTATGATCAGGTGAGCTTTCTTACAGTTTTCTACAACCGCTAACATCTTTTTGTCCAATCTGTAGTCACATTTTCAAAACTCTAAACACAGTTAGCCCCACATCTGTCTGTTCATACCATACAATTAACACAATTCATGTTGTTTCAACCGAATATGCAGTCAATTAACCCATTTCTACAATGCTAAGTTTTTCTTTAAGCTCACCCAATAACAAGACTATGGATGTTTTTTGTGTTATTTACAAATGCTTACACACAACATGTCAGAAATAAAGACCTTATTATCAAAACCTTAAATATTGCATAAAGCTTCTACTTCTATTAAGTTTTTCAATTCAATTTTATTTGTATAGTGCCAATTCATAACAGGAGCAAACGATGTGGGCTTCATTGATAACTGGAAGCCTTTTTGGGGAAAACCTGGTCTGATTAGGAGAGACGGCATCCATCCCACTTTGGATGGAGCGGCTCTCTTATCTAGAAATATGGTGAAGTTTATTTCTAAAACCTGACAGTCCAGAGTTGGGACCAGGAAGCAGAGCTGCTGTCTTACACACTTCTCTGCTCTTTCTTTAGAACAGTCACCCACCCAAAACCCCATAGAGACTGTGTCTGTCCCCCGACCACCTAAATTATTTAAAGGAATAAAAACAAGGAGTTCAACATAAAAACCTAATAAAAATTAAAACTAACTCCTCAGTAGCACAAAATAAGAGAATGAAATGTGGGCTGTTAAATATCAGGTCTCTGTCCTCTAAAGCTGTTTTAGTGAATGAATTAATATCAGACTATGATATTGATTTACTTTGTCTTACTGAGACCTGGTTGTCCCACGAGGAGTATGTTAGCCTAAATGAATCCACCCCCCCAGTCATATTAATACTCACATTCCTCGAGGCACAGGCCGAGGAGGTGGAGTGGCAGCCATATATGATTCGAGCGTTTTAATGGACCCTAAACCTAAACTAAATTATAATTCATTTGAAAGCCTTGTTCTTAGTCTTTCTCACCCAAACTGGAAAACACTGCAGCCAGTTCTATTTGTTATAGTGTACCGCGCTCCTGGACCGTACTCTGACTTTATATCTGAATTTTCAGAGTTTCTATCAAGCTTAGTCCTTAAATCAGATAAAGTAATTATTGTAGGTGATTTTAATATTCATGTGGATGTTGACAATGACAGCCTTAGTAATGCATTTATATCATTAATAGACTCAATTGGCTTCTGTCAGAGTGTAAATAAACCAACTCATTGTTTTAATCACACTCTTGACCTTGTTTTATCATATGGCATTGATATTGAACATTTAATAGTCTTCCCACATAATCCTTTCCTATCTGACCATTATTTAATAACTTTTGAATTCATACTATTAGATTATAAGCCATTAGGCAAAACTTCCTACAGCAGATGTCTATCTGACAGTGCTGTAGCTAAATTTAAGGAGGAGATTCCTTCAGTGTTTAATTCAATGCCATGTCTGAATTTAACAGAGTCCTATAACAACTTTAGTCCCTCTGAAATTAATAATCTTGTTGATAGTGCTGCAGGCTCACTACGATCAACATTAGACTCTATCGCTCCAATAAAAAGGAAATTATTAAAACATAGGAGACTAGCACCTTGGTATAACCACCAAACCCGCCAGTTAAAACAAATAGCTAGGAAATCTGAAAGGAAATGGCGCTCTTCCAAATTATCAGAATATCGCTCAAATTGGCAAGATAATCTTAAAATTTATAGAAAGGCCCTCCGTAATGCCAGAGGAGCCTATTACTCAGCACTAATAGAATGAAATAAGAACAACCCTAGGTTCCTCTTCAGCACTGTAGCCAGGCTGACAGAGAGTCACAGCTCTATTGAGCCACATATCCCCATAAACTTAAGTAGCAATGACTTCATGAGCTTCTTCTATAATAAAATTATTACTATTAGAGAAACCAACTGCCATCAACAGTTATCAGTGGCTCTCCAAGTTCAGGGACTTCTGTCAATGTAAACTTAGATATATATATAGACTGTTTTTCTGCTATCGATCTTCATCAGTTAACTTCAATAATTTCTTCATCGAAGCCATCAACCTGTCTATTAGACCCGATCCCAACTAGGCTGCTTAAAGAAGTTGTTCCCTTAATTGGCACTTCTTTACTGGATATGATTAATCTTTCTTTATTATCAGGATATGTACCACAGTCCTTTAAAGTAGCTGTAATTAAACCCCTTCTTAAAAAGTCCACTCTTGACCCAGGGGTTTTAGCCAACTATAGACCAATCTCTAACCTCCCCTTCCTCTCTAAGATTCTGGAGAAAGTAGTCGCCAAAGAGTTGTGTGACTTTCTACATAACAATAGTTTATTTGAGGATTTTCAGTCAGGATTTAGAGTTCATCATAGCACAGAGACAGCTCTGGTTAAAGTTAATAATGACCTTCTGACTGCTTCTGACAATGGACTTGTCACTGTACTTGTATTATTAGATCTTAGTGCTGCATTTGACACCATTGACCATAATATTCTTTTGGGGAGACTTGAGCATCAAATTGGCATTAAAGGAACCGCACTTAGCTGGTTTAAATCATATTTATCAGATCGCTCGCAGTTTGTACATGTTAACGATTAATCTTCAATAAATACTACAGTTAGTCATGGAGTTCCACAAGGTTCTGTACTTGGACCAATACTATTTACTTTATATATGCTCCCTTTAGGCAACATTATTAGGAATCACTCCATTAACTTTCACTGTTATGCATATGATACGCAGTTATATCTATCAATCAAACCCAATGAAATTAATCAATTATCTAAATTACAAACATGTCTTACGGACATAAAATCCTGGATGACCTGCAATTTTCTGATGTTAAACTCAGAAAAAAACGAAATTCTTGTTCTTGGCCCCAAAAACCTTAGAGACTCATTGTCTAAAGATACAGTCACTCTAGATGGCATTGCCTTGGCCTCTAGCACCACTGTCAGGAATCTTGGAGTTATCTTTGATCAGGATTTGTCTTTTAACTCCCACATAAAGCAGACCTCTCGGACTGCCTTCTTTCATTTACGTAATATTACAAAAATTAGACACATCCTATCACAGACAGATGCAGAAAAACTAATCCATGCATTTGTTACTTCTAGGCTGGATTACTGCAACTCTTTATTATCAGGTTGCCCCAATAAGTCCATTAAAATGCTCCAATTAATTCAGAACGCTGCAGCACGAGTACTGACAGGAACTAGAAAAAGAGATCACATCTCTCCTGTAATAGCTTCTCTCCACTGGCTCCCTGTAAAATATAGAATAGAATTTAAAATCCTCCTCCTCACCTATAAAGCTCTTCATGGTCAGGCCCCTTCATATCTTAAAGAGCTCATAGTACCCTATTACCCCTCTAGAACACTACGTTCTCTGAATGCTGGGCTACTTGTGGTTCCTATAGTCTCTAAAAGTAGAACAGGAGCCAGAGCCTTCAGTTACCAAGCTCCTCTCCTGTGGAACCAGCTTCCAGTTGTGGTTCAGGAGGCAGACACCCTCACCACATTCAAGAGTAGGCTTAAGACATTCCTCTTTGATAAAGCTTATAGTAAGGGCTGGATCAGGTGAGTCCTGAACCATCCCTTAGTTATGCTGCTATAGGCCTAGACTATCGGGGGATTTCCCATGGTGCACTGAGCTCCTATCTTCCTCTCTCTTTCTGCACTCGTTCATGTACGATTAATGCATGTTACTAACTTCACTTCTTCCCCAGAGTTCTTGTGCTTTCTCGTCTCGCAGGTTCTTATCGATCCTGGTGGAGCCTCCTGCCATTGTTCTGCTAGATTGCCTTTTCCAATTTCCAATCTCTCTCTCTCTCTCTCTCCCCCTCCCCCTCTCCCACCCACCCAACTGGTCAAGACAGACGACCACCCACCTAGAGCCGAAGGATCTGTCCTAGGTTTCTGCCTCTTAACAGGCAATTTTTCCTTGCCACTGTCTCCAAGGTCTTGCTCATGGTGGAACTGTTGGGTCTCTGTAAATAATGTTATAAGGAGTTCAGTCTAGACCTGCTCTATTTGAAAAGTGTCCTGAGATAACTTCTGTTATGAATTGGCGCTATGGAAATAAAATTGAATTGAATTGAATGAATTACTATTGTCAGCCGCACTCACTATTGAGACAGCTTAGCTCACTTCAAAAGTCCATGAAGGTTTCCTTTGCTTGTCTGTGTTGTGTGTCTTGCAGGTCCAGCACACTACTGCAATATAAAGGGTAGAGTGATTACACAATGCGTAGCAGCTGAGATAATCAACTCACCTGGTGCTGCTCTCACAAGCCTTCCCCACACCTCTCTCTCCTGCAGCTGAGTGCAAACCACACCCACCTCCACAGAGATGTTGTGGATGTGTGTAAATCTGATAATTAGGGCCCGAGCAAGTGACCCCTGGGAGGCCCTATTGTATCTCTAAGAATTATTATTTGCTGCCTGTTCGACTGCATATTTGGCGGCCGCAGCATGCTCCAATTCTCATTGAAATTTTCACAAAATTCAAACGTTCAGCCACCAAGACCCGTAAGGCCGACATGTACGAAAACCGGTACGCATGTGTATCGTGATAAAAGAAGCAGAAAAGCCTCTTGGACCCATACCTGAAACCCAACAGGAAATCGACCCTATTGGATTTTGTGGTCATTTCTGGTGACGTTGCATTGCATGCAGGGAATTTATTGCATCGTCTCAACACTTGGACACAGCCATCTAAAAACCTTCATCATTAAAAGTTGCGCTATTTACGACATTCCGTCGAACAGCGTGGACGTGGCGTCCAATTTCGATCCTTCGCCATGAAAACAGAAAGTTGTCATAACTTCTGCGTACATGATCCAACTGCAATGAAACTTCACGTTTGATTGCTTCACGTCTATGTGATAATATTCAGTAATAGTGAGAGCGCCACCTAGTGGCAACAGGAAGTATCACATTTTATACTTTCATGTTCTACTCCTAGCAGGATGATCAAATTGATTTGAAATTTACTTATAAAATGCAAAACACATTGTTGATGATATGTGAGGACTGTGGTGAGGGGCGTGTCTGTGGCGTGGCGCCAAATTTTAATGTACCGCCAGAACACACAAGTGTGCTATAACTTGAGTGTACATTGTCCATTCGGCTCCAAAATTCACTTGGTCGAGACAGACGACCACCCACCTAGAGCCGGAGGATCTGTCCTAGGTTTCTGCCTTTTAACAGGCAGTTTTTCCTTGCCCTTGTCGCCAAGTGCTTGCTCATGGTGGTACTGTTGGGTCTCTGTAATTAATGTTAAAGAGTTCGGTCTAGACCTGCTCTATTTGAAAAGTGTCCTGAGATAACTTCTGTTATGAATTGGCGCTATACAAATAAAATTGAATTGAATTGAATTGAACTTGTCTGATGAGAGTCCCTCCCTGAACTCATCTATGTGATAATATTCACTAATAGTGAGAGCGCCACCTAGTGGTGGAATGTATTACAGTTTAATGTATTTCTCCAAGCAGATTGAATACAATACAATAATGCTGAAATTTGGTCAGAAGACCCTCAGAATGTTGACAATGACATCTTACGAATCTTATGAATTTTTATTGAACCGTGTTGCCGTAGCGACACAGCGAGCATCACCTTGTTTTTTTAACATTTGATCGCTTTTTTTCGTGGGCTAAACAGGCTCAACACCTCATCAAACTTGGCACACACGTCCCACATGGCAGCATTTTACATTTCAGATGGATGTTGCCTATGGCTGTGTCAAAATGGCTCGATAGAGTCCCCTACAAACTTTCAAAAAAACAGCCCTGGTGTACTGTTTAGGGGACATGATTAAAAATTGGCAGGCATATATAGCAAGGTAGGACATACAAAAAAGCCTCTTGGACCCATAACCCAAACACAACAGGAAGTCGGCTATTTTGATTTTGATTTTTACTTTCCGCAAATTTTCACCTTGTATTTGAACGAACTCCTCCTAAGCAGCTTATCGGATCTGCTTCAAAATTGGTCAGTACAGTCAAAAAATGTTGCTGATTAAAAGTTGTGCTATTTGTGACTGTATGTGGAAGGGCGTGTCCGTGGCGTCCCGTCAAAGTTGGCCAGGTTGAATCGAATGTCAAACTGTGATGCCATTTCCGGCATTTCAGGGCTTCTATTTTAACTCCTCCTACAGATTTTATCGGATTGACTTCAAATTCAATCACTGCAATCTAGACACATTGGTGATCAAAAGAAAATGTGTCTGAAACGTGTGACAATGTAGAGCGGTCTCCCTAAGCTTCTGCCGATGGGGTTTGGGCATGGGGTGACGTAGAGTGGCGAGGCTGCGGCGAGCGAGAGCTGTGCAGGCCCCGACGTAGGTTGATGGCGAGGTCCCCCCCAATGCTGCTTGCAGCTTTAATGTTAATTTTGGTATTGTCTCTTTGGACCAGGACAAAGCTTTTGATCTTAGGGCTTTCGGCCCTGGTGATGGTTTTTTGTCTCTCTCTCTGTCTGTCTCCCTGTCTCTGTCTCTGTCTCTGTCTCTCTCTCTCTCTGTCTCTCTCAATTCAATTGAATTCAATTCAAATTCAATTCAATTCAATATGGGCTTTATTGATGAAAAGTAAAAAAAAAAAAAAAAACATTATTGCCAAAGCTAAGCATCAAAATACAATACAATAAATCAAAGATATATACATTATGAACATTATATTAGTTATATACAGTGTGTGTGTCTGTGTGTCTGTGTGTGTGTGTGTGTGTGCGTGTGTGTGTGTGTGTGTCTGTGTGTGTGTGTCTCAGGTCGTGGCATGTTAATACATACTGGGCAGCAAGGTGTGCCCGCTCTCCTTCTCTGAGGAGTATTTTTAATGTGGAGAGGTCGTTCAGCTCTTTGAAATCTGGAACCAAAGAGCTGAACTTAATTAATGTTTCTAGTATTATTTAATGTTGTACATTGTAGGAGAAAGTGCATCTCTGTGTCAACCTCACCTGTCCAACAGTGACCACATTTTCTGTTTTCTTTTGGTTGCCATGATGTTTTGTGTCTTCCTGTTTGGATTGGCAGTTTGTGGTCACTGAGCCTGTACTTGGTTAGGATCTGTCTCTGCTTTCTATCTCTGACAGTAGAGAGATATTCTGCTCATTCATAATCTCTTTTAAGGGCAAGATAACATTCCAATCTACTTTGGCTTTTAGTTGTTTCTTCCCAATGGTCCAGATAGCTTTCTTTACATTGTGCTATCATTTGCTTTACTCTGATTACTGTTTGTAGAGCAGTGTTGTTGTGAGGCTGGTCAGAGTGTGTCTGAGAGGGGGCAGTTAGCCTCAGTACCAACTGACATAGGGGACTCTTTTCTGGGCTCAGCTCTTGGGTTCTCTCTATCTGTCTCTCTGTCTGTTTCTCTCTCTCTCTTTGTCTGAGTCCTGATCCACCTTCAGCTGATCCCATTCAGGATTTCACACTCACTCAGATACAGGATGTGACATAATTTATGTCCTGTGCTCTGATTGGTCGGTGTTAATCTCCTGCAACCTGGTTGTTAGTGGCGGGGTCTGACTCGTGCTCCCCGCTGCGAGGACCCTGTCTGGCGGACAGGCGGTCTGGAGACCACAGTGAAGCGTCTCTTCTCATCCTGCGGCAGCAGTCGGCGAGGTCGGCCCTGAAGGACGGCGTGTAGAAGCCATAGATGACGGGGTCGCAGCAGGTGTTCAGGTTCCCGAACACAAAGACAGCGTGGTGGACGTACTCAGGTGTGACATGCAGCATGTCGGGCTGGAACCAGTACCAGATCCCCAGCAGGTAATATGGAGTCCAGCATACCACGAAGGACAGCACGATGACCACCGTCATCTTCAGAGTCTTCATCCGAGCCTTTGGGATAATGTCAGTGCCACTGCGGCGCAGGTACGACTCACCTGCTGAGAGAGGAAGGAGCTGTGTTAGTGATGTCACACTGTTGGGGATGTCATACTGTCAGTATGCGGTCAGGTGAGTTACCTTTGTCCCTCAGGTGTTGTACAGGTGTTGTACAGGTGGGTCACAGGTGTTGTACAGGTGTTTGTACAGGTGTTTGTGCAGGTGTTGTACAGGTGCTCGTACAGGTTTTGTACAGTTGATGTACAGGTGGGACACAGGTTTTGTACAGGTGATGTACAGGTGGGTCACAGGTGTTGTACAGGTGATGTACAGGTGGGTCACAGGTGTTGTACAGGTGATGTACAGGTGGGTCACAGGTGTTGTACATGTGTTGTACAGGTGTTTGTACAGGTGTTTGTACAGGTGTGTGTGTTACCTTTGTCTCTCAGGTGCTGCAGGTGGATGTGCAGAAGGATGCGGCTGTAGCAGCAGCTCATCACCAGCAGGGGGAAGACGTACAGCGTGGTGAAGTGGAACATGTTGTACACAGTTTCCTGCCAGCGGTGGTGGAAGCTGCCGTGAGTCACACACTGAGTGAAATCAGCCGCCTCCACCCTGATCGCCCGGAAGATAAACAGCTGGAAAGAGACACACAGGTCACAGGTCACTGCTACCTGAGTACAGGTAGGGTCCAGGTTGAGGTCTGGACCAGGATCAGTCCTGACCTGTGAGGAGCTGCAGGAGGTCAGACAGGAAACACCTGACAACAATCATTGAAACAACCTGTTTCTGAGAGGAGAGTTTCCTGTTTCTCACTATCACTTCATTAGAAACTCATAGTTTACAGTATATAGTCTATAATATATAATATACAGTATATAGTAAATAATATTTAATATATACAGTATATCGTTTATAATATATAATACATACAGACAATACTATACAGTATACAGTGTACAATATACAGTGTAATGTATCATACTCGTGAAACTGAACTGTTTGTTGCAGCTCTGTTTTCGAGCTGGAGGCCTCGTAGTGTTGTTAGCATTCCTCATAGAAACCAAGGGGAGCTGTTAGCTCGGGCTAACAGCAGGAGGTTTCACACATTTAATCTCTCCATCAGGAACAAGAACATTCCTGCAGGGATTTCATGTTCAGGACCTGAGACTGCAGGCTGAGAGGAACCAGACTCTGATGATAATATACAATAACCTCCTCTATAATCAAAGGGAACTGCAGATATTAACATACCCGCAATATTAATGATATTAAAGCTGCACTCTGGAAATATTCTGCAGCAACTTCATGAAATATTCTCAAACTGACAACAGAACAGGAAGTGGTGGTTCATATACTGCAGACATACAGTATATCTGTACCTGTGCTGATGTGTTACCTGTGCTGATGTGTTACCTGTGCTGATGTGTTACCTGTGCTGATGTGTTACCTGTAGTGATGTGTTACCTGTAGTGATGTGTTACCTGTAGTGATGTGTTACCTGTGCTGATGTGTTACCTGTGCTGATGTGTTACCTGTAGTGATGTGTTACCTGTAGTGATGTGTTACCTGTGCTGATGTGTTACCTGTGCTGATGTGTTACCTGTAGTGATGTGTTACCTGTGCTGATGTGTTACCTGTGCTGATGTGTTACCTGTGCTGATGTGTTACCTGTGGTGATGCGAGCAGCAGGCTGAGGCTCCAGGCTAGCAGCAGCATGCGTCGGTTCCTGCACTGCGCACTCAGAGCATCCAGCGGGTGTAGGATGGCATGCTGGCGGTCGAGGCTGATTACAACGAGGATGAAGGCAGAAGCATGCATTGCGAACAGCTTCAGGAAGCACAGCAGCTTACAGAGTGCATCGCCGCCATACCACTGCACCGTCACGTTCCACACCGCATCCAGAGGCATCACCACGAATGTCATCATCAGGTCGGCCGACACCAGGCTCAGCATCAGCGGCCGCAGGTGAGATGCCAGCCGTCGGCCACGCCCACACCAGACACTGGCCAAAAGGGCGAGGTTACTGGAGGCAGCAAACAAGAAGAGGGCGAAGGTAGCTCCGACACGGAACTGAGCGGCGCAGGTAAAGCTGGGAGCCTCCCAGTCTGTGAGAGGGGGGAACTGGGAGGTGTTGGGAGGGGGTGGAGCTACAGAACTGGTGGGTGAAGCTGGTGATGACAGCCTCACGACAGACCAGTTACCTGACATCCTACAAAGAAGAAGAAAACGGTCACAAGTGAAGAGGATGATGAGGATGAGGTCCCAACTTTTAAAGGAACAGTCCTAGCTTAGTACAAAGTCTGGAAACAGGTGGAAACTGTTAGCCTAGCTTAGCACAAAGACTGGAAGCAGGTTCCAACAGCTCATTGTGTGATTGACATATTGTATGCAATGTAACTCATTGTTGGTGACTGAGCCTTTGCAGTTGTCAGTTGAGCTTTAAGAAACTGTTTCTTGTTTCTCACCCGTTTCATAACGATTTCTCCTGTAATGTGTTTTTGCCCCGTGTGTAGTTTTTATTGTGTTTGGTAGTTGTTATTATTATTATTATTATTATTAATAAAATGAAAGAGGACTGAGCTCTGTGGAACTCCACTCATCATTTTGGTTTGCTCGGATGTGGACAGCTGCTGGAGGGGAGTCAGTCCCACTGAACGTCATAAATAGTCAATAAAATGTGTTTAACATTTAGTTGCTGCTTTAGAGCCTCTGCACAGGGACTATCAGGATGTCCTGGTCTAACACCAAAATCCCACGGGGCACGTGCAACACTCAGTGCTGGGCACGGCTTAATGACGCCTCGTCTGCGACACAGTTTTGGTTTCACTGCCTGACGTTGCTGACTTGTGTAGTTTCTCCTTTTTTCTTCTGGGTCAGTAGCTCCAGTGTGTTGATATAAATATATTTAAGTTAATATAATATATTTAATATCCATCGGTATGTTTCCATTAGTTTATAACCAGCTGAAAATAAGAAATATTGAACAGACAAACACTGGAGCTAAAGCTTTAATGTAGTTTAACCTATTCCCATTCTCAGGTTCCTGTCACTTCCTGCCACTGTGATCTGCTCTGTGCAGCCATGTTGCCGTTCGGACTCTGCTCCTGAGTTCAGTTCACACCTGCATCATTCAAACCTCAGTCTGATGTGTCCGTGTTTAATCTCAGTGACTTCCTGTTCAGCTCATTAACATAAATATGCACTGGTCCTTCAGAATAGAAGCAAAGAAACAGTTCCATAAAATAAAGCTTAAAATCGATCAACAGGGAAAACCACAAAGCATCATCTGTCCATTAATATTCATGATATTGATCATTAATACACACACACACAAACACACACAGAGAGAGAGAGAGAGAGAGATCAGTTTACAACTCTGAGCTGTCTGCACTATATTCAGCAGGATGTGTGTGTGTGTGTGTAAGTGTGTGTGTGTGTGTGTGTGTGTGTGTGTGTGTGTGTGTGTTCATGTCACCTTGGCAACCAACCCCTCCTAACACACATTAGTACATATTATAGCTACTATACATACTATATATACTATACATGATATATACATATAGAACATACATTACAGAACAAAATACAAGCAGTTATTTTCACATAATTCACATTTCAAATTAAAGGTCCAGTTCTGTGTTATTGTCAGTCAGACTCTTATTGTGAAAGAGTTGGTGTTTTTACCTGATCAGCAGCTCTGGATGTTTGTCCTCGTCAGGTCAGACTCCTTTGATCTCCTCCTCATGTTCTCTGTTCCGGAGAGAACCCTGACGACCCCAGACTGAGGAACACAACCTGGTCTAATCCGGATCAGTTCGGGTTCCTGTTGACTGCAGCAGCTCCTGAAGGACTGACGTAAAATATGCACCGAGGGAGGAGAAGCTCCTCCTGCAGTGGGCAGCACAGGGAGGAGGAGCTCCTCCTGCAGACAGCAGTGAAGGGAGGAGGAGCTCTTTCTGCAGACGGCAGCGCCAGTAGGTGCATAGACATGTTCAGGGCGGGACTTTTATCAAACATGTGAAGTTTTGTTGAGATCAGATCATGTACGCAGAAGTTATGATAAATTGTTTCCCGGCGAGTCGTTGAAATTCAACACCACGCCACAGGCACGGCATTCGATGGAATGTCGTAAATAGCACAACTTTTAATCATGAATGTCTTTAGATTGCAAATTTAAAGTCGATACGATCAATTCCCTAGTTGGAGTTTGTTCAAATACAACGTGTGCAAATCCAAAATGGCTCCCAGTGGATTTTTTGTACGTCAGGACATGATCTACATGTGTCGAGCTTTTTGTGCATATTGATCATTGTCATGGTCATCGTGGACCCCAAGAAAATACTAAGTTTTCCGCCACGACTGACACAGAGTTGCATGGGTTTCTGTGCATGTTGCAACCTCCAAAAATGTGATTCATTACGGCAGAAAATAATAATTACAATAGGGCCTTCGTCCGGTCGGTGCTCAGGGCCTAATAATACTACTAATAATTATTATTATAACAACAATAATAGTAATAGTAATAATAATAATTATTATTATAACAGCAATAATAATAGTAATAATAATCATATTATCAGTAATAAATATTGAGGCTCCACCAGGATCGATAAGAACCTGCGAGACGAGAAAGCACAAGAACTCCGGGGAAGAAGGGAAGTTAGTAACATGCATTAATGGGACATGAATGAGTGCAGAAAGAGAGAGAGAGGAAGAGAGGAGCTCAGTGCATCATGGGAAATCCCCCGATAGTCTAGGCCTAGAGCAGCATAACTAACAGTCCTTCCAGAAAAACGTGTGTTTTTGTGATTGTTGCGGGCAAAAATCCTTGATTATGCAGCATGTTTTCTTAAAAAATGCGATGGAATATGCGGGATATTTTTGCAATTTTATGCGATGAAATTGCGGGAACTTGCAAAAACTGCGGCTTCATCGCGGGGTTTGCAGCTTTTCGATGATGCCGATGATGTTCACGTCGTGTAATTATGAAATCATGCAAGCCTCGCGTATTTTGCGTGGAAATCTGCAATTTGTGCGGCGTATTTGAAAAAATGCGGCCCCCGCATAAATATGCAGACTTTGGCTGATTATACATTGAACTATGCGATCGATTAATCGTGTTTCTCTGGAGGGACTAAATTACGTTCCAAATTTAGGCTTAACTTTGGCGATGGAAAAACTGTCATGGCCATTATATAGGGATCCCTCGACCTCTGAGCTCAACATCTAACTGAAAATGCGTTGTATGGGAACCCAGCAGTCTCCCCTTTACAGACACGTTATGTTTGCTGCATGTGGTATAAATGTGTTATTTTGGTGTATCTGAATATTCCTGCAGACTGGGGTCCATAAACAGTGATGCTATTGTATAAACTGGGAATGATGGAAAGCTGAGACTCATACTTTAATCCACTCCTGCATACGGCAATGCCCCACTTGTGCCACCACAGTCAAAGCAGTGTGGAATTATATAATAATTAATAATTATTAATAATTATTAATAATCTGTAAGTTTACAGGTGTTTCACGTTTATTTTACAGATTTATTTCTATATTTTTAAACATATGGAAATATTAATAAAATCACAAAAATACCCTGTGAATTTACATGTTTAATGTAAAATCTGTAACTGAAAATAATAATAATAATAATAATAATAATAATAATAATAATAAATGCTTTATTTTTGGATAGGGACAATGCACATTAATGAACATCGATATTTGAACATCTCTGTAAACATGCCAGATTATAGCAAAGCTGCTAATTTGCATCTGTAGTTCCTAAAAAATAAATAGAAAAAATACAAATAGAAGAGACAGCAAATAAATAGATAAAATACAAATAGATGAGACAACACACACAGCACAATACATTACACAACCAGAAGGACACCAGACTCAGACAGGATATAACAATGCAATAAAAAGTAATGTTCAACTAGTCTCAAGTCCAGTTAGTGGTCACACTTTTGGTTTGATTTGAGCCATTGTTTTTTAGTTGTCCTTTAAAAGAAGAGTATGTGGGGCATTCCCTTATTGTGGAGGGAAGACTATTCCAAATGCCCCCCCCCCCGCACAACAGACAACACGTTCCTCCCATACACGGTACGCCTGTGGGGAATCTCACAGTCTCCTCTATCACAAGCCCTGGGGCTCACACCTCCCAGGGTCCTTTTCTTTATGAATTCATTCAGCGGTGGTGGAGCAAGACCATGGAGACTTTTATACACAAAATAGGCAAATCTAAAAGTTTTAAAATTATGGAAACTTAACAAATTATGTTTTTTAAGGGTCTTGCAGATATGGAAGGAGAAGGGTTTTTAGGGCTTTTTTATAGAGAAATTCTATCGGTTTGAGTGCTGTCGTACATGCCAGTGACCAGCTCGTTAAGCAGTAGTCTATATGAGATAAGATCATACAGTGTAAAAACATCAGAGCTGTACTGCCGGTTAATGAATTCCTGATTTGTCTGAAATTTGCCAGGATGTATTTGACAGACGCTTTTTTGATGTGTTTCCAGAATGAGAGTGTCGAGTCCAGAATGACTCCCAAGTATCTGAACTCGCTCACCAAAGCGAGCCCCTCCCCTCCCAGAAAGACACCAGAGTGATCAATATTTGGCGGCCTTTTAGCAAAAATCATACAGACACTTTTCTTAACATTTAAAGACAGACATGAATCAGTGAGCCAGTCCTGAACATGAGCCATTGCTGTTGTGAGTATTTGAGCAGCCTCTGTCGTATTCTTTGCAGGGGTAAAAATCACCGCGCCATCTGCGTACAACTGTGCATTAACACCCTTACAGACATCAAAGAAATCGTTAATGTAAAAAGAAAACAAAATAGGTCCAAGTATGGATCCCTGAGGAACCCCTACTGGACAGTCCAGGTAAGGGGTTTTTACACCGCCGACCACCACACACTGCTCTCTATCTGCAAGATATGATCATAATAACCCTAAAATGACTGCACATAAAAAGATAAAAATAAATTTTAGAGTAAATGTTGTTTATCAGTGTATAAGCATTACTGTAATTTCACAGATAATGACTTTTATTACAGTTCTATAACTTTTAACATTCACATTAAAATAATAACAATCCAATAATAACAGCCCTCTGCTGTAAATGTAAGTCTGATTATTGTATTATAGCAGAGTTCACCTGGATTTATAGCTCATTGTTTTACACTGTAAATATCTTTAAACATTAAAAAAACATTTTATGTTTTTTACACACGCAGGCCTGAAATACAATCATGGAGGGCTGTAGACATGCAAACGTGGACAGATGGTGAAGAGATTGGCTGCCATGTAGCAGCGCCCCAGGAGCACTTAGAGGTTAGGTTGCCTTGCTCAAGGGCCAGCACCTCTCCAGCTACCAGTTCACACTCCATACTGTGGTCTGTGCTGGACTTGAACCGGCGACCATCCAGTATTCTCAAGTATTTTTACATTATTTTACTGTATTTTTTGGGTGCTCGAGCTGCTGGAATATTAACATTTTATATATTATAATATTGACTTTCAGTTACAGTGTTCAGTACAATGATTTCATTGCTGCTTTCTCTGAACACAAAAAGGAGAAAATCTAAGAGACATTTCAGGGAAAGTTGCTGCATGAGGTTCAGAGTTTACAGAACATAAAAGGATTCTCCCCTTATCGAAGTAAGTCTTCAGGGTGTTTGCCAGGACACCTTCCTGATAGTCGATGGACTTTTTCATTCCCTCTTCTTTTCCATCAATGTAGTAATAGGCATCCTTACTTCCTGTATGGAGAGAATTTTGTTCCTTTATTATTCAATCAAATAGAATAGATTTGAAACCAAAAAAGAGATTTGAGAGCAAAAAAGAGTAAGTGGCAATGAAAAATTTTTTTGAACAGGTTGCAATTGAAAAGAAAATGTGAGAGAACATATTTCTTAAACTTCAATCGAAACTAATGTTTGTAAGTAAAAACATACGACCATTTTGCGTCCTCTTTGCTTGCAAGTTCTAAAGTTTTGTTTGCAAATCAGTCCTCTTTGCTTGCAAATTCAAAGGTTTTGCTTGCAAATTCAACTGCACTTGATGGGCGGGGCCTACGCTGGTGGACGAGAGAAGAGTTTCTATTGGTTGGTTTGACTGGCTACGTCTTCCTCATTACACCCACTTCTCCCTGTGCTGTGCTGCTTGGAGAAGCCTATTGCTCTTGAAACGTTTCCCATAAGTAATGAATTGCGCTATATATCGTTGGCTACAGCCTGCCGTACATTCACAACAACAACAACAACACAAGTAATGAATTATAATGCCCTGCTGCTGCTAGCACACTGATTAGCAGCAACATGGTTGTCTGTGCTAGTCACGGCCTGAGCAGAGTAGCCTAATGAGTGAGTGAATTACAGGGAGGCGTATACAACGTAGGGCTGTGATTTAAACATTTAGTGTTGCATGGTACTCGCGGTGCCAAAACGTCACGCTTCCTACACAACAGTACTACTGTGGATTACTAAACTACCGCTGAACGCGGTGCCAGCCGGTGTGTAGCGGGCTGCCGCTACTCCTCCCGGCTCCCGTTCTCTACAGCTGTTCTAATGTCAACAAACACACGTGGCAAATAATAATAAAAAACAAATTCACGCACATATTTCTAACCAGCCAGCATTACTGGTCTATACAGGAGCAGCTGCGTCAGACGGTCCGACTTAAATGACACTTTAGTCTTTAACAGACGGATAATCACAGTACCATGCAGTTATAATTATATAATATCTAATATACATGTCTGAACATCTGCTTCACACTTTATTAAATGTTTGTATAAAATGCTTCATATAATCAGTCGTAATCACATTTAACACAGATTCAACCAATCACAGTTTCCTGTGAGTCTCTAAAACGTTGATCCATACGTCACCAACCAACCAGAGACTTTACTCTCACTGGAACAAACAGCCTTTTAATGAATTATTCAACAAAAGTAATATTATTATTATTATAAAATAATCACAACTATTAACTACTAGTTTTTACTTCCTCAATTTTATTGCAAGTTTTTAAACCATCTCAACATGCATCACAATCATTAATAAAATCTGCAGTGAAACCAGGAATGACGCAACAATCCCAAATGAAACCTGTGACCTCCTGCAGGGACTGGCTGGGAGTTTGGTGTTTTGCTCAAGGGCAGCCCAGCAGTGGCCGCTCAGAGCTCTGACACCGCTCCAGCTGACAGTCCACACTCCAAACTGCGGTCCATGCTCGACCTGAACCTTCTGGTTGAAATAGCTGGTGGTGGCGAGTTACTGCACGGCAGTGAGAAAGTCCCACAAGGTCCGATACACCCAACATAATATTTCTCCTTTATTTAGTCATTTTGTGTCTTTGCTGCTGTGCTTATAGATGAATCATATAAATAACCTCAAAAAGAATCAGAATCAGCCCACTGGGAGCCGAGACATGAACACTTGGTTTAAACATCCATGTAGTATTTTGAAATGCATTCAGCATCCTCAATAACCCCGAAACCACTCAGTCCAAATCAGCCAATCAGCTGCTGAGATATTGTCCATATAGCTGATTATTAATGCTAATGATGTTAGCATCAATCAGTGTAACAGCTGGAGACCCAGACTGAACAGTTCTAATATTAAACTTTATACTCAGCCTCAATAATGCCGTCACTCTGTGGTTTGGGTCCATATTATCACTACAGGAGGATTTGAGTAGCACTGTGTCTTAGGGTCATAAAGATTTCCACCCGTCTGTCTGCATCCACTCTTCACTCTTTACCTGTCAGCACCTGTGATCCCAGAAGGACTGAGGATAAGTGCAGCAGTTTAATATACAGCATTAATGAAGACCTCCATCCTGTGTATGAAACACTTCATTACAACAATCACTACAGTGTGATTAGGATATCATTTAATGTGCTTATGTTCAGTGAATGATCTGGTCTTTTGCACACGCTCAGTCTGAACGTCGATGAGCTCAGCCTTTAAGGGTTAAATACATCCTAATTAAAATAGAGTTGGGAAAGTAACAGAAGGTCAGTTTATGATTTCACTGCTTTAAGATAAAAGGTCTATGATGAAGTGCTGCCCGTCAGCTCATTTCTTTATTCTACCTGGCTGAGCCTGAGGGAGCTGGAGCAGATTATTTCCTGTGAAGGGTGAGTTCTCCTGATACATTGATCCATTCTCTGTATTCTGTTTTTTTTCTTATCATTTTAACAATCAGACTTAATATTCATCTTTCTGACAGATTCACTGTTTATTGATCTATCTGCTGTTTGCTTTCTTATATATAATATCTAATATACATTGTGTTCCCAGCTTCACTGTACCCTCATTGTTTATATATTAAATCAATAATCAATAATCAGAAGCTGTCATACATTGACTGTTTACCATCCACTGTTTAGATCTTGGTGCTAACGTTAGCAGCAGCTCGGCTCGCAGCCCTTCCCATCAGTGGATCAGACTCTGATGTCAAATTAAAACCAGTTTCCTTTCTGTAGAAAGTGTTTCCATGGAAACCAGAGTCAGTATATTGAGTCTAAAATCAATTCACAATCAATAACTCCATCGGGCAGGTGAGTCTACATCAGTGAACAGAACCGAGACCTCCACCTGGCTGCAGGAGGCGTGGCCTCTATGATGCCATCTGGTCTGGTGGGAGGAGCCTCTGCCTCTGGGACCAATGAGGTTTCACTGAAAGAAAACAAGCAGGATCTCGTTGTCTTTATGAATAAAGTTAAAAGTGGTTTGATTGACAGGTGAAGTCAGTTACCTGTCAGTGTGAGGGTTCTGTCTGTCTGACCACAGTTCACCTGAAAACACACACAGGTACGTCAGTTCCACTTCCTGTCTGTTCAATGGGACATCTTATATTATATATTATATATATGATTATATATTATAATTATATATTATATTATTAGAACCATTCTCCTGAGTCCTTAGTAGAACTTCAGAGGACCAGGTGTACCAGGTGTATCAGTTGTATCAGTTGTATCAGGTGTATCAGTTGTACCAGGTGTATGAGGTGTACCAGGTGTATCGTTTGTATCAGTTGTACCAGGTGTATGAGGTGTATGAGGTGTACCAGGTGTATGAGGTGTAGCAGGTGTAGCAGGTGTATCAGGTGTATCAGTTGTACCAGGTGTATGAGGTGTACCAGGTGTATCAGTTGTACCAGGTGTATGAGGTGTACCAGGTGTACCAGGTGTATCAGGTGTACCAGATGTATCAGGTGTATCAGTTGTATCAGTTGTATGAGGTGTACCAGGTGTATCAGGTGTATCAGGTGTACCAGGTGTATGAGGTGTACCAGGTGTACCAGGTGTACCAGATGTATCAGGTGTATCAGGTGACTCACTGTGCTGCAGCGGGTCTGACTGGTACGGACTGGGAACAGAAGGAACAGGTTCTCAACCTCTGAGGTCACTGGATCTACAGTAGATATATTGTTAATTTGTGTTACCTGTGCAGTCCGGGTGTAATGCTCATGTACTCAGGTCCCTCAGTGGTTCCGCCCAACGGTGACCCACAATGCTCTGCTGTATCCTGTCTACCTGTAGCCTCTGATCCTGTTAGCACACTCACTGTTAGTTTCACACGTCACACAGTGAACACACCTCAGCTCACACCTGTAGCAGATGGTGGACCCCACCACACAAGACAGACAGGATGTGTTGATGTGAGTGAGTCACCTTGCCCTTCCCCCCTCTGATCATCTGGCTGCTGGTTGGACGCTCTGCCTGGACTCTGTGTGATGCCACTGTTCCTACAAAAAAGAATAAAGTGAATGTAGATTCATTTCTAGGACCAGATTTCTTTGTTCTTCTTTGTTCAGTTGTGTCACAGTGGGAGCTGATTGGTTGGTTACCTGGTTACAGATGGACTGAGTGAGTGTGGCCTGAGTTGGTGGGATCTGAGTGGGTGTGGCCTCTGAGAGTTAAAAAGGGAGAGCTGATTAATGAATTTGGTTGGTTGGTCGGTCGGAGGTCAGATGTGGTGTTCTGGTCAGTCGGAGGTCAGATGTGGTGTTCTGGTCGGTCGGAGGTCTGATGTGGTGTTCTGGTCGGTCGGAGGTCAGATGTGGTGTTCTGGTCGGTCGGAGGTCAGATGTCACAGGTCACACCTGCAGACTGACTGTGAGGTTCTGCCGTAGAGCTGCAGTCAGACGCTCCACCAGACGATCCCGAACAGAACCAGAACTGTCCTGCTGTGACACAGAATGAGCTGTGATTGGTTGGAACAATGTAAAGGTTTGTGTAAAATCTGACTGGCTGAAATTGACCTCTAAAGTTATCATGACCTTTGACCTCTGACCCAGTTACCTGGCAGTGAGACAGAGCACTCAGAGCCTGTTTGTAGAGCTGAACCGATTTCTGCTGCTTTCTCTGCCTCAGGTAACACTCTGCCAACGACTCACACACCTGAACCTCAGCCAGGTGGTCCCCTGCACACAGACAGGTACAGACAGACAGGTACACACAGACAGGTGCACACAGACAGGTACACACAGACAGGTACACACAGACAGGTGCACACAGACAGGTACACACAGACAGGTGCACACAGACAGGTACAGACAGGTTCACACAGACAGGTGCACACAGACAGGTGCACACAGACAGGTACACACAGACAGGTGCACACAGACAGGTCTGCCATGACTGTTATTGATCATTAATAAACAGAGCTAATAATCCCCAATAATTGTTTTTGATCATTAATAAACAAAGCTAATAATCCCCAATAACAGTTATTGATCGTTACCAGTGTCTCTGAAGCCCTGCAGAGCGTGGATGAAGCTCTCTGCTGCCTCCTCTTCATCACCCAGCTGACTGCAGGCAAACGCCAAGTTACTGAAGCACCGAGCCTGGTCACCACGGCAACCCAGAGAGCCTGCATGCACACACAAACAGGCAGAAGTACCTGTACATTATATTGATCATTGATTATACATTACACATAATATATATATATATATACACAAGAGGAGTTAAACATAAAAACTTAATAAAAATTAAAACCAACTCCTCAGTAGCACAAAATAAAAGAATGAAATGTGGGCTGTTAAATATCAGGTCTCTGTCCTCTAAAGCTGTTTTAGTGAATTAATTAATATCAGATTATGATATTGATTTACTTTGTCTTATTGAGACCTGGTTGTCCCACAAGGAGTATGTTAGCCTAAATGAATCCACCCCCCTCCCCCCCCCCAGTCATATTAATACTCACATTCCTCGAGGCACAGGCCGAGGAGGTGGAGTAGCAGCCATATATGATTCGAGCGTTTTAATGGACCCTAAACCTAAACTAAATTATAATTCATTTGAAAGCCTTGTTCTTAGTCTTTCTCACCCATCATGGAAAACACTGCAGCCAGTTCTATTTGTTATAGTGTACCGCGCTCCTGGACCGTACTCTGATTTTATATCTGAATTCTCAGAGTTTTTATCAAGTTTAGTCCTTAAATCAGATAAAGTAATTATTGTAGTTGATTTTAATATTCATGTGGATGTTGACAATGACAGCCTTAGTAACGCATTTATATCATTAATAGACTCAATTGGCTTCTGTCAGAGTGTAAATAAACCAACTCATTGTTTTAATCACACTCTTGACCTTGTTTTATCATATGGCATTGATATTGAACATTTAATAGTCTTCCCACATAATCCTTTCCTATCTGACCATTATTTAATAACTTTTGAATTCATACTATTAGATTATAAGCCATTAGGCAAAACTTCCTACAGCAGATGTCTATCTGACAGTGCTGTAGCTAAATTTAAGGAGGAGATTCCGTCAGTGTTTAATTCAATGCCATGTCTGAATTTAACAGAGTCCTATAATGACTTTAGTCCCTCCGAAATTGATAATCTTGTTGATAGTGCTGCAGGCTCACTACGATCAACATTAGACTCTATCGCTCCTATAAAAAGGAAATTATTAAAACATAGGAGACTAGCACCTTGGTATAACCACCAAACCCACCAGTTAAAACAAATAGCTAGAAAATCTGAAAGGAAATGGCGCTCTTCCAAATTATCAGAATATCGCTCAATTTGGCAAGATAATCTTAAAATTTATAGAAAGGCCCTCCGTAATGCAAGAGGAGCCTATTACTCAGCACTAATAGAAGAAAATAAGAATAACCCTAGGTTCCTCTTCAGCACTGTAGCCAGGCTGACAGAGAGTCACAATTCTATTGAGCCACACATCCCCATAACCTTAAGTAGCAACGACTTCATGAGCTTCTTTTATAATAAAATTATTACTATTAGAGAGAAAATTAATCACCAACTGCCATCAACAGTTATCAGTGGCTCTCCAAGTTCAGGAACTTTAACTAATGTAAACTCAGATATATATTTAGACTGTTTTTCTGCTATCGATCTTCATCAGTTAATTTCAATAATTTCTACATCGAAGCCATCAACCTGTCTGTTAGACCCGATCCCAACTAGGCTGCTTAAAGAAGTCGTACCCTTAATTGGCACTTCTTTACTGGATATGATTAATCTTTCTTTATTATCAGGATATGCACCACAGTCCTTTAAAGTAGCTGTAATTAAACCCCTTCTTAAAAAGCCCACTCTTGACCCAGGGGTTTTAGCCAACTATAGACCAATCTCTAACCTCCCCTTCCTCTCTAAGATTCTGGATAAAGTAGTCGCCAAAGAGTTGTGTGACTTTTTACATAACAATAAATATCAATCTACCTCTTACCCGTGACTTTGCATCCTGTCTTGACAGCTTTGGCTTCCAGCAGCATATTGATTTTCCCACACATTCAAAGGGTCACATTCTGGATTTAGTTTGTTGTTCTGGTCTCATTCCTTTCAACTGTACTGCAGATGAACTTCCTATAACTGATCATTTGCTTCTGTCATTCAATGTCAAACTCACTCTGTCCTCAACAAAGCCCCCACGTGTTATCTCATTCCGTAACATTAAGAAAATTAATCCTGATGCACTTTCCTCTGATATCAGCTGTCTCCTGAACACTCATAATTCATCCACCCCCGACGACTTGGTTTCCCACTACAACAACGGCCTCACCTCCATTCTTAATTCTCTCGCTCCTATGAAAACCAGGTCCGTCTCCTTCTCCACCTCGGCCCCTTGGTTCACTTCCGAACTACGGCAAATGAAAGCCAAAGGACGACAGCTCGAGCGACTGTACAAGAAAACTGGTCTTGTTGTTCATAAAGACATGCACAAAAATCATATTTTACACTATAAGGACTGTATTTCTCAAACCAAACTCAACTACTACTCTGGCATAATCTGTTCGAACGAAGGCAATTCCAAGTCTCTGTTTTCTCTTCTCAACAATATTCTCAGACCCCCGGCCTCTCTCCCTCCCCACCTGTACTCAACTGCTTTCTGTAACTCCCTGATGTCCTTTTTCAATCAGAAAATTCATCAGATCCACCTGCACCTAGGCCCAAGCTCCTCCCTCAGCACCTCTCCAGAACCCTGTCTGACTTCTCACTCACTTTCTTTCTTTAAGCTCCCCTCTGACTCAGATATCTCAGACCTCATCTTAAAGTCCAAGCCCTCCACCTGTCAGCTAGATCCCCTCCCCACAGTTCTGGTGAAAGCCTGCCTCCCTTCTCTCCTCCCCCTCATCATCCATTCCTCACTCTCCACTGGAATTGTTCCTGCACTCTTCAAAACTGCTGCCATCACTCCAATTTTGAAAAAACCTGGTGCTGATCCTAACAATTACAATAATCTTCGTCCCATCTCCAATCTACCTTTCCTCTCCAAAATCCTCGAAAAAACTGTTGCTTCCCAAATTCATTCTCATCTAACCCATAACAACTTGTACGAACAATTCCAATCTGGTTTCCGCCCCCTCCATAGCACTGAATCTGCACTAATCAAAATCACAAATGACCTCCTCCTGGCAGTCGACTCTGGTTTACTCACTATTCTCATCCTCCTCGATCTGAGTGCGGCCTTCGACACCATCTCTCACACTATCCTCCTCAACAGATTAATTTCCATTGGTATTTCACACACAGCCCTTGACTGGTTTAATTCCTACCTCTCAGGCCGAACTCAGTTCATCCAACTCCAATTCTTCAGTTCCCACCCGTCCCCCGTTACCACTGGCGTGCCCCAGGGCTCTGTCCTGGGGCCCCTTCTCTTCATCATCTACCTCCTTCCCCTTGGCAATATCTTCCGTAAATATAACATCCACTTTCATTGCTACGCGGATGACACCCAGCTCTACCTCTCCAGCAAACCAAATTCCACTCTCCCACCTTCCTCCCTCACTGACTGCTTCACCGAGCTCAAATCCTGGTTCTCCTCCAACTTCCTCAAACTCAACAGTGATAAAACCGAATTTCTTTTTATTGGCACTAAATCAACCCTCTCAAAAGCTAACGGTTTTTCCCTCACCATCGACCACTACTCTGTCTCCCCTTCCCCCCAGGTTAAGAGTCTGGGTGTCATCCTCGACAGCACATTATCTTTCCAATCCCATATCAATAACATCACCCGGTCTGCATATTTCCACCTACGCAATATTAATTGACTCCGCCCCTCCCTTTCTCCCCACTCCACTGCCATCCTTGTACACAGCCTTGTCACCTCCCGCATCGACTATTGCAACTCCCTTCTCTTCGGTCTACCTCACAAATACCTCCATAAACTTCAACTGGTTCAGAACTCTGCAGCTCGAATTATCACCAGAACCCCCTCCATCCACCACATCACCCCTGTTCTACAGCAACTCCACTGGCTCCCGGTAAAACTCCGCATTGACTTCAAAATCCTCCTATTCACGTTCAAGGCCATCCACAACCTCTTCCCTCCTTATCTGTCCGAACTCCTCCACATCGCCAACCCTTCCCGTTCCCTCAGATCTGCCTCCTCTGTCCACCTCTCTGTCCCTCCCGCCCGCCTCGTCACCATGGGGAGCAGGGCTTTCAGTCGCTCTGCCCCCCAACTCTGGAACTCACTCCCACCGGACCTCAGGAACCTGGACTCTCTCACACTCTTCAAATCAAGATTAAAAACTCACCTATTCAGAACTGCCTACCCCACTTAACCATCTACATTGTCTTTTCTTATCTGTTTCTTATATCTTGCTGTTTTTTTTTTTTTTTGTGTTGTACGGTGTCCTCGAGTGCCCAGAGAGGCGCCTCTAATAATTTAATGTATTATTATTATTATTATTAATAGTTTATTTGAGGATTTTCAGTCAGGATTTAGAGTTCATCATAGCACAGAGACAGCTCTGGTTAAAGTTAATAATGACCTTCTGACTGCTTCTGACAATGGACTTGTCTCTGTACTTGTATTTTTAGATCTTAGTGCTGCATTTGACACCATTGATCATAATATTCTTTTACAGAGACTTGAGCATCAAATTGGCATTAAATTCAATTCAATTCAATTCAATTAAATTTTATTTGTATAGCGCCAATTCATAACAGAAGTTATCTCAGGACACTTTTCAAATAGAGCAGGTCTAGACCGAACTCTTTAACATTAAAGGAACCGCACTAAGCAGGTTTAAGTCATATTTATCAGATCGTTCTCAGTTTGTACACGTTAACGATGAATCCTCCATAAATAGTACAGTTAGTCATGGAGTTCCACAAGGTTCTGTACTTGGACCAATACTATTTACTTTATATATGCTCCCTTTAGGCAACATTATTAGAAATCACTCCATTAACTTTCACTGTTATGCAGATGATACGCAGTTATATCTCATGTCCCATTAATGCATGTTACTAACTTCACTTCTTCCCTGGAGTTCTTGTGCTTTCTCGTCTCGCAGGTTCTCATGGATCCTGGTGGAGCCTCCTGCCATGGTACTACTTGACTGCCATTGCTAATATCACTGATATTAGTGTTATTAGGGACCGAGCACTAACAAGTGCAAGGACCCTTATGTTCTTCTAGGAATTATTATTATTTTTCTGCCAGCACAACCGCATATTTGGCCCCCGCAACATGCTCAAAAAGTCATGAAAATTTGCACAAAATTCGAACGTAGCAATACTACCGATAGTATCAGCCCCCAAGACACGTAAGGCCCACATGTAGGAAAATTGCTACGCATGTGTGACATGATAAAAGAAGCAGAAAAGCCTCTTGGACCCATGCCCCAAAACCCACAGGAAGTCTTCAATTTAAATTTTTAATTTTCATCATTTTGTGGTCATTTTGACTTTTTGGGCTTGTATTTGAACGAACTCCTCCTAGGGAATTTATCGGATCTGCTTCAAAATTGGTCAGTACAGTCAAAACATGGCGCTGAATGAATGCTGTTCAATTTGTAACTGTACGTTGAAGGGCGTGTCCGTGGCGTGCCGTCAAAGTTGGCCATTTTGAAGTCTGTGGTCTTGTATTTGAACAAACAAACCCCTAGGGAATTTATCAGATCTACTTCAAAACTTGACAGTACTCTTGAATAATGTTGCTGATTACAAGTTGTGCTATTTATGACTGTACGGTGAAGGGCGTGTCCGTGGGGTGCCATATGTCAAATGTCACACTGTGATGTCATTTTTGGCATTTCAGGGCTTCTATTTTAACTAACTCCTCCTACAGGTTCTATTGGATGTACTTCAAAATTGGTCAGTGCAGTCAGTTTTTTTCGTCCAACATTGTGCCTGTGGCGTGGCGTCCCATGGCATCCAATTTCAAACCTTCGCCATAAAAGAGGGATTCGTCATAACTTCTGCGTACATGATCCGACTGCAACGAAACTTCACATGTTCGATAAGAGTCCCGCCCTGAACATGTCTATGTGATAATATTCAGTAAAAGTGAGAGTGCCACCTAGTGCTGAAAGGAAATGTCATTTTTTTTATACTTCCATGTTCTACTCCTAGTAGGATGATCAGATCAAGCTGAAATCTATTCAGAAAATGGAAAACATGTTCTTGATGATATTTCTTGATTGTGGTGAGTTCTTATTAAAGGGCGTGTCCGTGGCGTGGCATCAAACTTTGATGTACCGCCAGAACACACAAAGTTGCTATAACTTGAGTGTACACTGCCAATCGGCTCCAAACTTCACATGCCTGATAAGAGTCCCGCCTTGAACACATAGTGATAGCGCCACCTAGTGGCAACAGGAAGTAAGTGCTGCGTGGCGATTTTGAACTGATTTACGTGAGATTTTCATGTCGTTGTCCGCACGTGGTCCGCACGTGTTACGACGGCACGTGACGCGGCCGCAGCACGCCCCGAGTTGCGTGGAGTGTGAGGTCCCGTCCATCGCTGCTTGCAGCTTTAATTATTATTATTTTTCTGGCCCGTCGACCGCATATTTGTCCCCCACCTAGAGCCGGAGGATCTGTCCTAGGTTTCTGCCTTTTAACAGGCAGTGTTTCCTTGCCCTTGTCGCCAAGGTCTTGCTCATGGTGGTACTGTTGGGTCTCTGTAATTAATGTTAAAGAGTTCGGTCTAGACCTGCTCTATTTGAAAAGTGTCCTGAGATAACTTCTGTTATGAATTGGCGCTATACAAATAAAATTGAATTGAATTGAATTAAATTGAATATACATATATATTCATATCAGGAGTCTGACGTCGCTGTTTTACACACTCTATATATATCAATATATAATATATGTCAATGTATATTATATATTGATATATATTATACATTGATATCAATATATAATATAGATATATAATAATGATTAATTAATTCATCAATAAATGTTTACACATGTTGTGCACTGATCAATAACAGTGTCACACTGTCAGTTATTATATGAAATATTACAAAATAATAATTAAAAAAAATAAACAAATAATGATACATACAATTTGAATGTATTAATACTAAATAAAATGAATAATAATTCATAAAATACAAATCAATCATTAATATTAAACTAATGCACAATAACTAAAATAAACAATAAACAGGACTGATTCCTGATCAGGTTGATTGACGAGGGTCTGACCGTAGAGTCCAGCAGCCAGTCTGTGGTAGTCCACTGCGGCTGTGAACTGGCCCCCAGAGTTCAGAGCGGCTCCCAGGTTGTGCAGCACTGCAGCCAGCAGGGGGGGCTGCTGAGCCACGGGGCCCAGAGCCCGCTGGAAACACTGGACCGCCTCCTGAAAACACCTGAGCCGGCAGTAAGACACGCCCACCGACAGGTACAGCTCACCTGGACCAGATCAACACACAATCAATCAATCAATCAATCAATCAATCAGTCGATCAATCTGTTGAACACTTAATACATTACCCAGAATCCTCAGGTCGGTGAGTCCATCCATCAAACTCAGGCACTCAGTTAGTGCACTGATGATGTCATCATGGCTGAACTGATCTGATTGGATCATGTGACTTCCTGCTTCTTTAAAGGCGTCGGCTGCTGAATCCAACATGGCCGCTATTCGGTAACTCTCTGCAGCCCGCAGGAAACCCTGAACCGCCAGAGTCCAGTCCTGCAACACACACACACACACACACACACACACACACACACTGGTTTAGGTTCTGTCCCGGGTTCAGGTTCACACAGGTCCACATTCAGGTCCCGGGTCTGACCTGCAGTCTGCTGTAGCAGCGGCCCATCTCCATGCAGGCGTCCCCCTCGCTGCCTCCGTCCCCCTGCGACCTGTACAGCTGTGCGGCTTGCAGGAAGAAGGCGGCGGCCTCTCGGTCCTGCCCCAGTGCATTGTGGGCCAGGGCCAGGTTGAACTGGAGGTCTGGGAGCCGGTCTGCCTTTGGACCAGGCTGAGCCTGACGCAGGAGGTCGAGACCTTTCTTAGGTTGTCCCGCCTCCACGTAGGCGGCACCCAGGTTAAAGGAACAGGCCCGCAGGACCCGAGAGTCCTGCAGCTGAGGAGCAGAGCATGATGGGAAATCAGCAACAGTTTAATCACCTGTTAGCGACCTCTGACCCGGACAGTCTCACCTGTTAGAGACCTCTGACCCGGACAGTCTCACCTGTTAGCGACCTCTGACCCGGGCAGTCTCACCTGTTAGCGACCTCTGACCCGGACAGTCTCACCTGTTAGAGACCTCTGACCCGGACAGTCTCTCCTGTTAGAGACCTCTGACCCGGACAGTCTCACCTGTTAGCGACCTCTGACCCAGACAGTCTCACCTGTTAGAGACCTCTGACCCGGGCAGTCTCACCTGTTAGAGACCTCTGACCCGGGCAGTCTCACCTGTTAGAGACCTCTGACCCGGGAAGTCTCTCCTGTTAGAGACCTCTGACCCGGACAGTCTCACCTGTTAGAGACCTCTGACCCGGACAGTCTCACCTGTTAGAGACCTCTGACCCGGGCAGTCTCACCTGTTAGCGACCTCTGACCCGGGCAGTCTCACCTGTTAGCGACCTCTGACCCGGACAGTCTCACCTGTTAGAGACCTCTGACCCGGACAGTCTCTCCTGTTAGAGACCTCTGACCCGGACAGTCTCACCTGTTAGCGACCTCTGACCCAGACAGTCTCACCTGTTAGAGACCTCTGACCCGGGCAGTCTCACCTGTTAGAGACCTCTGACCCGGGCAGTCTCACCTGTTAGAGACCTCTGACCCGGGCAGTCTCTCCTGTTAGAGACCTCTGACCCGGACAGTCTCACCTGTTAGCGACCTCTGACCCGGACAGTCTCACCTGTTAGAGACCTCTGACCCGGGAAGTCTCACCTGTTAGAGACCTCTGACCCGGACAGTCTCACCTGTTAGCGACCTCTGACCCGGACAGTCTCACCTGTTAGAGACCTCTGACCCGGGCAGTCTCACCTGTTAGAGACCTCTGACCCGGACAGTCTCACCTGTTAGAGACCTCTGACCCGGGCAGTCTCACCTGTTAGAGACCTCTGACCCGGACAGTCTCACCTGTTAGAGACCTCTGACCCGGGCAGTCTCACCTGTTAGAGACCTCTGACCCGGACAGTCTCACCTGTTAGCGACCTCTGACCCGGGAAGTCTCACCTGTTAGAGACCTCTGACCCGGGCAGTCTCACCTGTTAGCGACCTCTGACCCGGGCAGTCTCACCTGTTAGAGACCTCTGACCCGGGCAGTCTCACCTGTTAGAGACCTCTGACCCGGGCAGTCTCACCTGTTAGAGACCTCTGACCCGGACAGTCTCACCTGTTAGAGACCTCTGACCCGGGAAGTCTCACCTGTTAGAGACCTCTGACCCGGGAAGTCTCACCTGTTAGAGACCTCTGACCCGGGCAGTCTCACCTGTTAGCGACCTCTGACCCGGGAAGTCTCACCTGTTAGAGACCTCTGACCCGGGCAGTCTCACCTGTTAGCGACCTCTGACCTGGGCAGTCTCACCTGTCCTGCAGTCTTCAGCGCGGTGTTGAAGCAGCTCACTGCGTCCCCTGTCCGTCCCTCCTGCAGAGCTCTGTGACCAGCAGACGTTAACTCTTCAATGTCCACTGCCTGAACGTCCTTCCTCCTCCTCCTCCTCCTCACCGTCACCTCCTCCTCACCTGGAGGAGATGCATCAGACGCCATGTTGGGCCTGCAGGAGGAGAACTCACCTGGACTGCAGAGACACACAGAGACATCAAACATCATCAGGAGACCATGTGATGTGAACAGCTGCTGTTTTAAATGTTTTTATTTCTCTGTCGAGGAACTGATCGATTAATGTTCAAACAAGATCAATACTTTTACTTTTTGTTGCATAAAGTTAGATTATTATTATTATTATTAACATTAATAAACACCTTCTGCTGTGAACGTTACCTTTTATTATATTTTAATATCAGTTCTAACAGTGCTAACAGTGCTAACAGTTCTAACAGTGCTAACAGTGCTAACAGTGCTAACAGTTCTAACAGTGCTAACAGTGCTAACAGCGCTAACAGTGCTAACAGTGCTAACAGCTCTAACAGCGCTAACAGTGCTAACAGTGCTAACAGTTCTAACAGTGCTACAAGTGCTAACAGTGCTAACAGTGCTAACAGTTCTAACAGCGCTAACAGCGCTAACAGTGCTAACAGTGCTAACAGCGCTAACAGTTCTAACAGTGCTAACAGTGCTAACAGTTCTAACAGTGCTAACAGTTCTAACAGTGCTAACAGTGCTAACTAACAGTGCTAACAGTGCTAACAGTTCTAACAGTGCTAACAGTGCTAACAGTTCTAACAGTGCTAACAGTGCTAACAGTGCTAACAGTTCTAACAGTGCTAACAGTGCTAACAGTGCTAACAGCTCTAACAGTGCTAACAGTTCTAACAGTGCTAACAGTGCTAACAGTTCTAACAGTGCTAACAGTGCTAACAGTTCTAACAGTTCTAACAGTGCTAACAGTGCTAACAGTTGTAACAGTGCTAACAGTTCTAACAGTGCTAACAGTGCTAACAGTGCTAACAGTGCTAACAGTGCTAACAGTTACATTCTAACAGTGCTAACAGTGCTAACAGTGCTAACAGCTCTAACAGTGCTAACAGTGCTTAACAGTTCTAACAGTGCTAACAGTGCTAACAGTTCTAACAGTTCTAACAGTGCTAACAGTGCTAACAGTGCTAACAGTTCTAACAGTGCTACAAGTGCTAACAGTGCTAACAGTGCTAACAGTTCTAACAGCGCTAACAGTTCTAACAGTGCTAACAGCTCTAACAGTGCTAACAGTGCTAACAGTGCTAACAGTGCTAACAGTTCTAACAGTGCTAACAGTGCTAACAGTTCTAACAGTTCTAACAGTGCTAACAGTTCTAACAGTTCTAACAGTGCTAACAGTGCTAACAGTTCTAACAGCGCTAACAGCTCTAACAGTGCTAACAGCGCTAACAGTTCTAACAGTGCTAACAGCTCTAACAGCGCTAACAGTGCTAACAGTTCTAACAGTGCTAACAGTGCTAACAGTGCTAACAGTTCTAACAGTGCTAACAGTTCTAACAGTGCTAACAGTTCTAACAGTGCTAACAGTGCTAACAGTTCTAACAGTTCTAACAGTGCTAACAGTTCTAACAGTGCTAACAGTGCTAACAGTGCTAACAGTTCTAACAGTGCTAACAGTTCTAACAGTGCTAACAGTTCTAACAGTTCTAACAGTGCTAACAGTGCTAACAGTTCTAACAGTTCTAACAGTGCTAACAGTTCTAACAGTGCTAACAGTGCTAACTGTTAGTGCTAGCACTGTTAGCACTAACAGTGCTAACAGTTCTAACAGTGCTAACAGTGCTAACAGTTCTAACAGTTCTAACAGTTCTAACAGTTCTAACAGTGCTAACAGTTCTAACAGTGCTAACAGTTCTAACAGTGCTAACAGTGCTAACAGTGCTAACAGTGCTAACAGTTCTAACAGTTCTAACAGTTCTAACAGTGCTAACAGTCTAACAGTGCTAACAGTTCTAACAGTTCTAACAGTGCTAACAGTGCTAACAGTGCTAACAGTGCTAACAGTTCTAACAGTGCTAACAGTTCTAACAGTTCTAACAGTGCTAACAGTTCTAACAGTGCTAACAGTGCTAACAGTTGTAACAGTGTCTAACAGTGCTAACAGTTCTAACAGTTCTAACAGTGCTAACAGTGCTAACAGTTCTAACAGTGCTAACAGTGCTAACAGTTCTAACAGTTCTAACAGTGCTAACAGTGCTAACAGTTCTAACAGTGCTAACAGTGCTAACAGTGCCTAACAGCGCTAACAGTTCTAACAGCGCTAACAGTTCTAACAGCGCTAACAGTGCTAACAGCTCTAACAGTGCTAACAGTTCTAACAGTGCTAACAGTTCTAACAGTTCTAACAGTGCTAACAGTGCTAACAGTTCTAACAGTTCTAACAGTGCTAACAGTGCTAACAGTGCTAACAGTGCTGTAACAGTGCTAACAGTTCTAACAGTTCTAACAGTGCTAACAGTGCTAACAGTTCTAACAGTTCTAACAGTGCTAACAGTGCTAACAGTTCTAACAGTGCTAACAGTGCTAACAGCTCTAACAGTGCTAACAGTGCTAACAGTGCTAACCTTTAGCTCAGGTGCAGATCGTCACACTGAGCCGATAAATGTTCACAGATCAATAATCAATATCTGCTCTGAGCTAAGATCAATATCTTTCAATGTTTATTGAAGCAGTTAACGATAGCAGCTAGCAGCTAACAGCTAACGGCTAACAGCTAACTGCTGACTGGAGTTGACTTGGTTGCTACGGCAACAACTGAGCAACCACAGGAAGAGAAATGCTGCCAGCAATTATAAGATGTATTTATAAGATAAATATAATATTTATATATATATGAAGAACATAAATAAACCATTAATAATATATAACATAAAGTAAACAAGTTATTTTAAATATAAATGTTTATTTTAACGGCAGGAAAATACATGGACCACAATCCATTGCTGCAACGCTCCAGCCAATGGGAGGAGCGGCTGCTCGTCCGTTCGGCCAATCAGAGAGCGGCGGGAGCTTTCAAACTTCAGCCCGGAAGCAGCTACGAGCAGCGGGCGGGTTGTACCGGAGAGAGAACCGTGTTTGAGACGATTTAACGGCCTGAACTTAACGGGAAAGATTATAAAGTTTTAGTTTTAGTCACCGAGAGGACCAATAAAGAGTGAATTAACCCGCAGGAGGACCAATAAACAGTGAATTAACCCAACATCAGTAAACATGGCGGATTCATGTGGACGCTGTAAGTTCCAAAATAATGTTTGTATGTCTGTTTATTATGTTTGTATGTCTGTTTATTATGTTTACTGTCTGTTTATTATGTTTGTATGTCTGTTTATTATGTTTGTATGTCTGTTTATTATGTTTACTGTCTGTTTATTATGTTTACTGTCTGTTTATTATGTTTGTATGTCTGTTTATTATGTTTACTGTCTGTTTATTATGTTTGTATGTCTGTTTATTATGTTTACTGTCTGTTTATTATGTTTACTGTCTGTTTATTATGTTTGTATGTCTGTTTATTATGTTTACTGTCTGTTTATTATGTTTACTGTCTGTTTATTATGTTTGTATGTCTGTTTATTATGTTTGTATGTCTGTTTATTATGTTTACTGTCTGTTTATTATGTTTACTGTCTGTTTATTATGTTTACTGTCTGTTTATTATGTTTGTATGTCTGTTTATTATGTTTACTGTCTGTTTATTATGTTTACTGTCTGTTTATTATGTTTGTATGTCTGTTTATTATGTTTACTGTCTGTTTATTATGTTTGTATGTCTGTTTATTATGTTTACTGTCTTTTTATTATGTTTGTATGTCTGTTTATTATGTTTGTATGTCTGTTTATTATGTTTACTGTCTGTTTATTATGTTTACTGTCTTTTTATTATGTTTGTATGTCTGTTTATTATGTTTGTATGTCTGTTTATTATGTTTGTATGTCTGTTTATTATGTTTACTGTCTGTTTATTATGTTTGTATGTCTGTTTATTATGTTTACTGTCTGTTTATTATGTTTACTGTCTGTTTATTATGTTTGTATGTCTGTTTATTATGTTTACTGTCTGTTTATTATGTTTACTGTCTGTTTATTATGTTTGTATGTCTGTTTATTATGTTTACTGTCTGTTTATTATGTTTGTATGTCTGTTTATTATGTTTACTGTCTTTTTATTATGTTTGTATGTCTGTTTATTATGTTTACTGTCTGTTTATTATGTTTACTGTCTGTTTATTATGTTTGCTGTCTGTTTATTATGTTTACTGTCTGTTTATTATGTTTACTGTCTGTTTATTATGTTTGCTGTCTGTTTATTATGTTTGTATGTCTGTTTATTATGTTTGTATGTCTGTTTATTATGTTTACTGTCTGTTTATTATGTTTACTGTCTGTTTATTATGTTTGTATGTCTGTTTATTATGTTTACTGTCTGTTTATTATGTTCGTATGTCTGTTTATTATGTTTACTGTCTGTTTATTATGTTTGTATGTCTGTTTATTATGTTTACTGTCTGTTTATTATGTTTACTGTCTGTTTATTATGTTTGTATGTCTGTTTATTATGTTTGTATGTCTGTTTATTATGTTTACTGTCTGTTTATTATGTTTACTGTCTGTTTATTATGTTTGTATGTCTGTTTATCATGTTTGTATGTCTGTTTATTATGTTTGTATGTCTGTTTATTATGTTTAATGTCTGTTTATTATGTTTACTGTCTGTTTATTATGTTTGTATGTCTGTTTATTATGTTTGTATGTCTGGTCATTATGTTTGTATGTCTGTTTATTATGTTTGTATGTCTGGTCATTATGTTTGTATGTCTGTTTATTATGTTTGTATGTCTGTTTATTATGTTTACTGTCTGTTTATTATGTTCGTATGTCTGTTTATTATGTTTACTGTCTGTTTATTATGTTTGTATGTCTGTTTATTATGTTTACTGTCTGTTTATTATGTTTACTGTCTGTTTATTATGTTTGTATGTCTGTTTATTATGTTTGTATGTCTGTTTA